TAACCCATATAACAGTAATTAATAAACTCACTTGTAAAAGAAAGAATTATATTATTATGTACATTTAAAATGAAATGTGTTACTATCTATGCTTTGTTCCTTTGTTTTCCTGATTTTGTCATTAGTCTATTTTTTTCTGGTCTATTCTTGTTAGTTGATAAGAAAGATAATGAAACATTTTCTTTTTGAATTCGTTTTGGTAAGGAATTATCCAATTCTTGACTATATCTTTTGGAATTATGCCATTTTCGGCTACTAATTTTATCATTTAATTGTTTGATAAATGAGTTAGACTTTAATGTACCTATACAAAGCAAAAACAAAATTAAATAAAATTAAAATACTGCTTACTAATATTAAATTAATATAATTCTATAGCAAATACCTTTAAAAGTTTGTTGCGAAATGTTTTTATGATTTTTAGCCTTTTTATTATTATTATTTTTAGTCTCTTCCTCATCATTAGTTTCAGCCTCTTCTTCATCATTAGTTTCAACCTTTTCTTCATCATTAGTTTTAGCTATTTCCTCATCATTACTACTATGGTCATAATTTTTATATAATTCAGCAGTAAAATATTCTAAATCTAATTAAAGTAATTAATAACTTGAATAAAACTAAAAAAATTATTATATAAGTTGTTACAGAGAAATTCTGAAGTAAATATTTAAATTGTTACTTTAGTGAACTTATAATAAATTTGCTATGTACCATATTTATGTGAAATAACGCACATCTTCGTGTTATTTCGAGAAGATGCGTGTTATTTCAAGTATGCACATGGGCATTATTTCGAGGTAAAGGATACACCCCAATCGCTGATGGTAAATATCAAGGTGATTTATTAACATTAGTATATGGTGTGCGTTATTTTAGGACGCATATAAGCATTATTTTGAAACCAACTATGCTATTTTAAGGAAATGTAATTTTCAAAATAATGCTCATGTGCATTATTTTACGTAAATATGGTAATAATTTAAATATTTACTTTTTAGTTTTACTCTGTAGCATACAAATAATCATAACCTGCCTTTACTTGAAGTATTTGCTTCATGATTACTATCATCAGATTTTATATCAGATGCATATACTGAATTTGTATTTTCTTTATTATAATAAGTAGAAAGTCTTTGTACTTCAAATTCTTGATCATTACTTTCAATTTGCACATTAGATTTAATATTTTGCTTTTTGTATTGCTTTTGTCGAAAATTATTAGCTAAAAAATAAAACAAAAAAATTAAAAATTATATTAAGAAATTTATTATTTAATTACTAATAATATTTTTAGTCTTTACCTCTATTCATTGATTTTTGCTTAAGACATTCTTGTATAATCCATTTGTTAGACCAATTTGAACTTTATGTTTGTTATATATCTAAATATAAATTAAAATTTAATAATAAAAAGATTAAAAAATTAACAAATTTGGATTTAAATTTAAGCCATTCAATGTTGATTTTTAGGTTAACATTAATTTTTTAGTTTTTTTCAAAAATTAACAACATTAAATGAATTTCACTAGTGATATAATTTTGCTAACTAATGATTATTGACATTAATCTTAAGTCAACTAGAAGTGGCCTTAATATTAAAGTATAGATTTGTATTTTTGATTATTTTAAAATCTTAGAATAAAATATAATTATAATTATCTTACATCTTCGATCCAACTTTCTCTAGCTGAATATCCTAATTGTGACCATGTTGTTGACTCAACAATTTTATTTGCTTCAATATGTGGAGTAAAATCTGCTTTAATGTTTGCAAAATAAGTTTTTGGTAATCAAGGGCAAAGCTCACAAAGTTTAATTTTGATGATTGATTTTTATTCTATTTAGGTGCTTGTATAGTAGATATTTCTATAATAGCTTGCTCGATTCTTTTTTCCTCTAGTAACTTGTTAAGTAATTTTTGTTGTAAATTATAACATAATTTTAAAACTTAAATTTTTTGTTGAGTTGATAACATATCTAATATTTCTTCAGAATGAGCTTCACTATCTATAATTTTTTGAGATAGATATGAATGGTTAATTGATATTGTTATTAAAAGTAAAAGTTTGAAATTTGTAAATACAAAATGTGAAAAACTTATATTTATATTGATCTACAAATTATTTAAATTATTTATACGTATTATAATATGATTCTAAATTTGGCAGTTAATTAATGAATTAATAAATCTATATTTAAGGTTTTGTATTATATAAATAAAACTACTGTATAAAATACAAATTTCGATTAAAAAGTTTTTATTTAATATACAATAAAATGACAAATAAGCATAAATTAGAAAAAGTAATTTATAAATGCAAAGCTTGTTTAACAATAAGTATACAAGGGTAAGAACTTAGTAAGAGAATTAAACGACAACATGATAAGGCAAAAAGATGTTATTATAACAAAAATGGAACAATCATCAGAAAAATATATTTTAGAACAAAAAGAACAAAAAAAGATTTACATTATAATGAGCAAGAAATTACTTTACAAAATCAAGATTTTTATAAAGATTAAGATTATTACAAAGATCAGAATTTTTATAAAGATCAAAATTTTTATAAAGATCAAGATTTTTATAAAGATCGAGGTAATACTTTACAATATCAAGAGTTTTACAAAAACCAAAATATTACTTCACAAGAAAATTAAGATGCTACTTTATAATATGAAAATTTAGAACAAGAAATTCAAAATAATCAAGAAAATAATAATAATAATAAGATTCTACCAGAGATAGAATGTAAGAAATTTATTTATTAAGAGCACTAAAATATATTAGCACTCTAATATAATGATAAATTAAATTAAATTTATTATATTAATTTATTGAAATTTTTTATTTAGAATTATCGAATATGCTTAAAGCATTACAATTATTATATTTAAAGGCTAAAAAGCCTCAAATATCTGATGAAAATTTTTTAGAAATTTTACAAATATTTGACTGTAATGGCCCAACATTATATTCGACAAAACAAACTCTTCAAAAGCTAGTTAATATTAATATACACTATAGGTGCAGAAAATTGAGGACATGTGGTTACGTTAAAAAGATGAGCAGTGGCGTCAAAAGTGCTATAACTAACGTATGTCATAATAGCCGACATTTGTTGTAACTAAGTTTTTGGTCATAAACTGTGATAATGGACATGATGCAGGATTAATATACGTGATTTAAGCATGATATAAGTAATTTAGCTTAGTAAATGCAATTTAACTTTCTTGAAAAATAAAATAAAATCAATTGAACAAAAATAATTTTTTTTTTTTAAAAAAAAAAAGCCAACAAATTAAAGTTATAAATAAATTATATAAATAGCCAATATGCTTTTGATTGATGAAATAGATTCTAGTAATTCTATGCCATTAGAGCCTTGTGCTGATGTTACTTCACCATCTGAATCTGAAACTAGCAATGATCGATCTCAAAAAAGAAATAGATAAGGTAGGCCAGTTTTCAATAAAGTATGGGACTATGTTATTAGGTGTGAAAAAGTAAATCTAGGACACTATAAAGCAGAATGTTATCGCTGTGAAAAAGTCTAGCAAAGAGGTAAATCTTGTATTTTAAGGTCTCACCTAGCACTTCATTGCAAAAATGTTCCAGAGGATATCCGACGATATTGGCATAATAAGCTTATAGAGGTTGATAATGCCAATAAAAGAAATTCACAATCACAATTGGTTTTACCACCACAAGTTAGCATTAGTTACGATGAGAATCTTTTAAGAGCATGGGTATGGCAAATATCCTGTTTGAAGTAATTGAAAATCCTTACATTAAGAATCTTTTTAAAAGTCTTAACCCTGCATATGTATTGCCATCTTATACAACTTTATCTGGGAGATTACTTGATGAAGAGTTTGCACAAATACAAATTAATATTAATAATGATTTAGAGCATGCAAAACATTTAACTTTAAGTATGTCATAATTGTAATTTATAATTAAAAAATTTTTTTAAAAAAAAATTTTTATAAAAATTTTCTTATTAAAATAGCACTTGACAGATAGACATCAAAACGTGGAGAATCGTTATATAATTATATTGTAATAACTATGGATCGAAAGGAATATCTGATTTCTTTACGCAATTATTCAGCAGAATCTCACACTAGCAATTTTATTGCTTTCGAAATCATGGATATTATTGAAAAAATTGGACCTCAAAAATTTGCCGCCATTATCACTGATTCTGCAGCAAATCTCAAATCAGCTAGAGAAAAAATTCAAACCAAGTATCCGCACATATTAAATATCAGGTGTATAGCCCATGCCATTAACTTAATCGTGATGGATTTATCAAAAATTCATGAAATCAAGATATTTATTGATCAATATGGAAAAATTATCAAGCACTTTACAAAATCAACTCAAAAATTAGCATTATTAAGGCAAGGGTTATCAAATATGAATCTTAAGGTTTAGAATTGTGGTGTCCAACATGTTGGGAGTCGTTATACAACACTACTAATTCAATATTGCTTGCATGACCTGTTTTTGACTGGGTAATTTTTTATTATACATATTATTTATTATTAATAAATAAATATACAATTAATTTGCTATATTGTTTTTATAAATTCTTCTTGAATATTTACGCATAATTACAAATACAGAAGTTTTTAATTTATTAAGTAATGAAGATTTCTTTATCACATGCCGACAAATTCGATCAATATAGAAACTGATAAAAGTCTGTATTAATGTTTTAGAAGTGGGTTCAGCAAATTTAGCTGACTGTTACATTAACTTAATAAAGTTAGCTGTAACAATTTATCAAATTCCTGAAATTAACCTGTTTAAACCTGCTGCTATCCAAATATTCAATCGTCGTTATGCAGAATTTCAACATCTCTTATATCTTTTAAGCTATTATCTCTATCTATATTACCGCGGTAATGAATTATAGATTAATTTAATTGCTATTGCTATAGGATTGGCATTAAAAAGTCAAATTGAATCAAGATTGTAAATATCTTTAACATTAATGTTCTTGATTCAATTGAAATAAATATATATATAATGCTAAGTAATTTAATATTAGGGTTTATTTTTATTTTTTTTTAATTTTTTTACTTTTTTTTATTTGTAATTTTTTAATTTTTTAATTTTTATTTTTTAATTTAAAATTGGGACTTCAAAATGAAGCATTTTGCGATGCTGCTATAGTGGCATCAACATTATGGAAGAATTTGGGTCGTACTGCTCAGGAGTATAAGGAATTAATTTCACAATTTCGTTACTACGATGCTAATAAAAAACCTTATGACTTACCCTATGTTCAAGAACTCGATACACCAATATTGTGGTGGGGGTTAATAAAAAATAAACATCTTTCTAAACTTGTATAAAGACTTTTTAGTATTGCACCTTCTCAAGCTAATTGTGAGAGAAACTTTTTGACTCTCAAATGGTTCATTGGAGATAAGCGAATATGTCTTGGTGTTGAAAAGCTAGAAGAAATGGCCATGATTCTTCTTACCATATAGCAAATATACGAAATGAACTTACTTATTTTGATATTAGGCTAACTGAAGCTGAACTATGTGAAATAGTAAAAATTGTGACGATTGATGATTATGTTACGGGTGAGGAGGAACTAAGTGGAAACAATGATAATACATATGAAGAAAGCTCAAATTCATTATCTCAAACCACTATAATCTTAGAGGACATTGTTAATTTGCGGAATTCCGTTTTTCAAGACAGAAAAATCATATCATTTGAATCTCCTACTGACATTGCAGATTCTAATATTGAAGGCGATATTGATCTGGACTTTAGTCCTGAGGATCTTGTCAACACTGTTTTAAGTGTTGAATTATAAATTAAATAATTATTTAATGTAATAAACGCAATGTATATTATAATTTATTTGCATTCAAAGAAATTTAAAGTTTGAAGTGAATGCATCTAATATCACTCTTATTTTAAAAGGTGACCTGTTTTATTAGTAAAAATTTTAACGGTTCATTGATTAAAAGTCTAATTTAAAAATAGATGGCTTTGATACTTTTTTCATATCGAAAATTCACTATTACAATGTCTGATATCGTCAAATATTATGTTGCATGTCTGAAATAATGGCATAAGTTAAATGTTATGGCATAAATCACATGTTACAGTATAAGTTACATGTTACAGCATATATCTAATGTTATGACAAATGTCAGTTGTAACTTTTTGACATATCAGTTATATCTTGAGTTATGACCGTGGATGCTACAAGAAAGTTAAATTACCAATCAATTTTCTGCACCTATAATATACACTTTGTTTTTTTGTTTTTTTTTTAATA